TATTATTACATTTTTATACTGCCCATAGCCAAAGCTCTCTAGGCAGTTGACAGCAATAATCATAGAATCATACACTCAAGTCACCCATCCCATTTCTGCCCAGGCCTGACCCTGCTTAGCTTCCAAGATTAGGCAGGATCAGGCACTTCAGGCTACATGGAAGCTACATGGAAGACTACCACTGCCATGCCTTGCATCTTCTGTTTGGGGCGGTGGGTTTGCATCCTTGGATGTTCTAAGCATGTCACCCACATCATTCGGGACTCATCTACTTGTGCCTCTTTCACTCTACCATTTTAAGTCAGCAATGCCATTCTATAGTCTACAAAGTAGAAACAGGTACATGTCTGCACACAGAAGAAAGTGTGTGTGGGGGGGTGGGGGGAGAAAGGACACAAATCTGGCATCATACATGGCCATACTCAGAAAACAGTGGGAATGCCTCCAAGAGTGCGGTGCCCTGGGCATTCTATCACAGATCTTAAAGTGGTCACTGTGGAGCAAAGGAACGTCAAAGGGAGATCACAGCGGGCGAATGCTGAATTAGAATTCATCAACAGGCTTAATTTTATCACCAGGGGTGTGAATTGGAATAATGGGTTTTTATCACACAAGTGTGTTAATTTGTTTGCCTGGTGCCAGGGTGTTTGTTATCCAAAACAGCTGTCCTGTAAAATTACTGCTGTTAATAATGTGATTGTTCCATCACTATCAACATGTTCTGTACCCAATTTCCTTCTAACCAAACTTGTTGCAATTCTTCCACTTATTCCAGATAGGGACCTCCCCATATTATTTCATGCATCTGACAAAGTGGACTGCAGTCTCCAAAAGCTTACGCTAGAATAAATGTGCTAGTGCCTAAGTCAGGGCCATTAGGTAGCGTGCCCAGGCAGCAGAGAGTAGGAGGGGAGGGCTGTGGGCTATACTGGCATTCTCTAGACTATCCCAGGTATGGTGAGGAAATATTTCTATATGAGTCTAGTCTGCATTTGTATTTTGGCATGAGAAACTTTTGTCTTTGGCCACCTCATCTGTCACTTCAGGCAACAAAATGTTATGGGCCAGCTCTGCTTTAAGTCTCCACAAGCGTCTTTGTCGCTTCTGTCTTCTAACGTTGGCAGGACACAGATAGCGCCAGGGCCAGCCCTCCCACGAAGTGAGTTCGATCCCTTGCCTCAGGCAGTGGGGTGTGAAGAGCTGTGAATTGTGCACCCCTCATCCTTCTGTCAGGAGTCCCCTCCCCTCTGCAGGAGCCACTGGGTTGAGTGAGGGTGCCAGAGAAGGGGGCTTCCAGCCCAGTGGCACTGCAGGTGGTCTGGGCAGCCCCACTCTCCGGGTGAAGAAAATGGAAAGCCTCCAGGTCAGCCGCACACCCTGACACACTCTGGGAATCCTCTCCGTGGGATCTGCAGCCCAACCAGCCCAAAGCCCAGGCCGGGCTCTGTGGCGTCCCTGCCGCTGTAGAAGGAAGTGTCCTGGAGATTTCCTATACCAATAAGAGGGCTCTGAAAGCTTACAAAAGGCTTGGCTGCCGTTTATTTTACTGCATTTGCATGATAAATACAATAACAGTAACAAATCCTCATCTTGTGAGGGGTCTCTAAGATTCAAATATACTAGGAGAAACAAAATAACAGATCGTAAGAAAACTGGTCCTTTGGGATCTTTTAGGTCAGCAGAAACTACAGTGGCTTCTTATACAAATAATCCCATTTTGACAAAGATAGAGCTCAGTATCAACTCTTTTGTCACACACAAAGCCAGTACTTTCTGATATAAGCTGAAAGAGCCTCTGTCCTCACATCAGACATGTCAAGACCACTTTAGCTGTAAACTGAAATAATCACACAATCTTTGGCATCTGTATTTTGCTTCCTCAGTTACGGCTACAACATGATTTGTGATGTTTACGAGACTTACCTATTATAAAGGCTACTCTCTTATCCACCACTTTAGAAAATAAGCATTTTGCACACTCTCAGTGTTTTTTAATCCATCCAGTATAAATGGACTCAAATTTAAACCCAGTTTCTACAGTCGCTCTTTCCAATTTGGTTGCTGTCCAACTGGATCATGAAACAGACAAACCAAAATGCAGATAGGCATAATGAATGTGATCTATTTTCATGACATATAACTGGGCCTTTAATGGGAAGTTTAGCACTTTGGGACAGCTTGCTTAACATGGCTGGTTCACAATGAGCTGGCTGTATTATGCGAACCTGGTTACAGCCTTAGTATTTTGAAGAATCAGTGTTGTTGATAAATCTGGGCAACCACAGGATTCCATTCAGCCCATTCTTAGGCATGAGAGTACATTCCATTGAGTTCAATGGAGTTTACTCCCAAGTAAGTGCACATCAGATTGCAGGTGTAATCTATTACAGGAGCTAATCTGAGTACAGCACTGGTCCAGCTCTGTGTCCTTATCATCCTTGTCAACATACCCTGGCTCTTCCACCATTCCCAGCTTTGTGGTTGCCCTGTGTGAAATGGACCAGAAAGCACAGACACCAGGAGAAGCACAGGTATGTTCCTCTGCTTGGGGGAACAGAGAGCTTGGGGATAAGGGAACCCAAGTGGAATGTCAGAAGTGACACCAAGGAAGGGTTGGTTGAGGGAAAGCAGCCAAAAAAAAAATGCTTGCAGTGACATAACCTGATTATGGGCATTAATAAATAAAATGGAAAGGAGGTTGGCTGTAAGCTGACAGTGCCAACCATCCTGTTGGCAGACAAAGCTACTCACATAGTTGCCCTTCCCGTTACAACTTACATAATTCCCTACCTATCTAGACAATGTACCTTGAGTTCAGTTCATTGGCAACCTATTTATACCATCCTAGATCTACTGAAACATTTCCCCAAAAAAATATTCCTCACACTCAGACTGACTAGAGGTTTCATATGCATCTCAGCAGACCTGCCTCCACTATCAGAAGGGCCACTAACATTACAATGAGGCTTAAGTCTGTATTTTCTTATTTTATTCTTTTAATTAAGAAAACTTACAATTAAAATAAAAGATAAAAAACACTGTGCAGCCCCCCACCAAGAGCATTGATAAAAACTCTCAAAAATTCTTTCAAGAAGCTCCATCCCCCTTCCAAAATTGCACTCCTGTGAAGATTCAAATCCTTTCCTTTTTTTTAACACAAAATCAATTAATGAACCATAAATCAAATTATTTTATATACCCCTTTTCACTTTAATATCACAAGATAATTTAGCATTAAGAACTATATTCCAAACTTCTCTATACCAATCACTCAATTGCAAATCATGTTTTCCTTTCCAGTTCTTTGTTATAATTAATCTCACAGCTGTTATCAAGTTTGTTGTTAATTCTTTAGTATTTCAAATCCATTGTTTCCTATCAAGTAATGCA